GAGCCATGCCTACCTGGTGTGGGGCTGTTGGGTGGCTCCATGTAGTTCATCACTGGCTATATGCTCCTTTTGAGGCTAACAGGTTTCTTTCTCTTAATTTTCTGCTTTTCCTGACCTCCTGTGTTCTAGACTGATGTGGATATATTTTGCAATTAATCAGTCCCTGACTGTAACAGGGTTTTTTTTCTTTAATACTTGTTCAAACAGAAATTCAGATAAAGGTGTCCCACTTGTATGTAACAGGAAATGCCTGCCTCCTTTTCAGATATCCCTGCAAATACTCCATGCTGATTTCCTCAGTGCTGAATTGAAATGTTAGGTCAAACAAATGTAAATGGACTCCAGTCCCCTTAAAGGATCCAATTCAGGCCTTTGTGGTACATTCAGGTCTACCCTCACCCTTCTCAGGAGAAGGGACTAATTCACCTGATCCTAATATGCTCCCCTAAAGCCGTCATCAATACATCCTCACCAAAGGCTTGTATCAGGTATGGTCAACAGTGCTAGAGGAGCTCAAAGCTCCTGACATGTGATGGACTTCTCCCATCGAACACAGCCAGGTCCTTCTGATGTCTAGTGTTTGGGGCTAGGGGTCATCTTTCTCACCTTTGAGACGTTGCAGGCATGAACCTCTGTGTATCTTCTCACTGCAAAGAGCCACTCTCACATTTAGCTCTTACTTCATCCTGCTTGGAAGAATATGGCATTAGAAACACTCTTGAAGTAGGCTCTCTAGATGCTTTTGCTTCCAGCCTACCTCCTTCATCTGAGTAATCAGCTATCTAGCTTATGATTAAGTCACTGGTGGCCACGTGCATGACTCCAAGTGCAGAGAACTGGATTTATGTGCTAGAGACTTTCAGTCAATAGTCACTTTGGGGGAATGTATATCCTCAGGCACAAATTGCCTGAAGAAAGGGAGAATGGATAATATGTATGGATATATTTCTGTTTGTTAGGGGTGGCTTTGGGTCTGGAGATCTGGATTCAGACACGATCCTTTGTGAAGACTTTGTGCAAACTTTGAGTTGGAGACCACCCTGAAATGCTGATATGTGTGACAGGCTAGTGCGTCCCCTTGACATGAGATGCCATTGTGTGGCATTTCAGCTGCAGAAAAGCATGGTTTCATTGAATGTGTGGCGGCCCAGCATGCTTTTGAAAACAGCATGCCTCTGCCTCACTAGCAATCGCAGCCAGTGGAAAGCGGTTTGGGTTGTGTTCAGGAACCTCTGCCTCTCTGTCATTAGTGCTTGCTATCTAATTGCTCTTGGAAAGGAAGAGAGTGCTGAACTGCTAAGAAACATCCGAATGGAAGGAAGTCCTCTCCTCCCAGCCATGCACAGAAGCCCTCTTCGTCTCAAAATGACCCCAGGCCCCAGAGTTATGGCAGTAGCTTTGGCACGTCACACTCCTGTCCTCACCAGGCACATCCCCAGCATGCAGCCACGTGGACTCTTTCCTGCTGGCGTGCAAGGTTCTGTCAAAAGTCCAAATGCAGGTGTCCACCCTGGTCTTTTAATAGCAATTAACCTTTCCTCTTGGGTTTCCTTTGAAGCTTGCTCATGTTTTTTATTGTAAAATAGCAATGAAGAATTTTATGGAGGCTAATATCTAAGCTTCCACATTACCTAATCTCATCTGTTCCCTCATCGGGGCCTCAATTTTGTTTCATCCCATTTCTAGTGGGGATAATTACTGGACTTTAAAGAAGCCATCTTGAATTTCAAAACTGCAGTGCTATCTGTGTGAGTGACTTGCAGTTAACTGGGGAAAATGATGCTTACCAGCACAGTCCCTGGGTCTAATTCTAACCTCACAAAGACTTTTCTATCAGTCAGTACCCCATGGTTTTGCTGGAAGTACCTCTGATCCACGTGCGTGTAAATTTTAAGGGGAATAGTCCCACACCCTTTGAAAATGAAGACCAGATCTTGGTTCATGGACATTGATTTTAATATAGCTCCTTCTATCGTTAATTTCAGAAATATATATCTTAATGGTCTTCCCGTCTCTTGGTCAGTCGTAATTCAACTTTGTGTTTATTTTGAGGTTTTAAAATATATTTTTGTTAGAATGCATTGCTATTTCAGGCAGAATAATATTTCAGTAATCCGTTTTACCCACACTGTTAGGGCTTTGGGGCATATAGGCATATTACATTTTCCAGAGCTTTCAAAGTGAAAGCCCATGTTTAACGACGACATCGGGTGTGGCTGCTGGAAATCAAAGGAGGCACAATAGACCCAGCAAACGGACTTGTCTCCCTGCCAGGCTTCCAAAGGCTAATTTATCAGTTGCAGGTTTGACCCTATATGGCTAAAACCGAGTGTAGCCAGAATGACTGAGATAAGTATAACTGAGGCCTTTGAGTCTGCAAGAGAGAAATTAAACCAGACTGTCCCTGGGGGAGAAGAAACATCTGCAAAGCTGTGCTTGCTAAATGTTTAAGGCTCATCTTGTGCTAGCCTGTAGGCAGGTGCTGCTGGCAAGTAGGACTGAGGAAGGTGTCCCTTTGGGGAAAGGCACAGAGCAGGTCATTACTTTCTGTGACTTAAAGGATTGGGCTGAACTGCTTTGTTTGGACAGTCAAGTGTGGTTGTGAGGCACAGGGAGAGCCTTGGTTTTATGGGCCAGTGCTTGGTGGGATGGGGACAACAGCGGTGAGCATGTGAGATGGGCTTTTTAAGGAGTTTGAGTGTCAGGCACCCATCTGTCATGGAAAATCAGTAGGATTTAGATGCCTGAAGCTAAAAAAAAAAAACCAGCCAAAACCCAACCCTTCCAGTGAGCCATGTGCTTATCATCATGCAGATCACTTTCCTTATGTGATTTCTCTTCCTGCACCCCATGTGTATACATGGGTTAGGGTTTGGGGTTTTTTCTGTTTCAAAACCATCTGAACTCTTTTAGGCAGGACTGCAATCTAAACAGTTGGGAAAGACATCTAAATGGGAGTGAGCCTGCCCTGGATGGACATGGCATCACTGCTGGCCTGTGAAGGCAGGGAGTGTGTCGGAGTTTGGGGATGCTCAGGAGATGTGGGCCAACCTCTCACCCATCCTACAATGCTGGGGCAGAGCCATGTTTGGGGTCAGCCGTAATACCATGGTATAACAGAGATGGCTGCTAACATGGTCGTTTCAGTGCAGGATGAAATGAGTGGTGACATCCAGGTGGAGCTGTGTCCCTACCTTTTTCATGTCTTCTTTCCTGTTCCTTGGAGTCCAAGTCGAGTTTTACTGCAGGTCAGCCCTGGGCAGGAGAGTATGGACACAGGCTCGTAGGTGCTAGTCACAGAGCAAGCTCTCTGTCACGAGCCTTTGAACATCTTTGCCAAACTTGGCACTGCTAAGCTATGACAGGCAGGATTTCTGAAGCACGAGTGATGGAAAATCCCTGTGTGTGTCCTTCTTGGCTAAACGGTAGAGTCAGTCAAGATTTTCTACTTCTCAGAGTGCCAGGTATTAGAAAAGTGACAAACTAATCAATATGGGGTTCAATCGTTAAAGTGCAGGGAGAGTCTGCCAAACCAGAGGCCGAGGGAATGGGTAGCTGAACTTTCTTGTGACATGTATGAGGTCATAGCCAGTGCCACATAAAAGAAAGAAAAACAGTTCATGGCTGTGAATAAATTGCTCACAGATGAAGAATCCAGTTTGCCAGTCATGTGATGGGAGCAATCTATTCAAATGATTTGTTATGTCCCAGTGTTTGTCTTAGGCAGTACCAGAAGCATGAAAGTACAGATATAAAACTGTGAGATAATATATAACAAAGATGTGAGACATAATGGGCTATGACCAGTTTCCAGTGGAAAAGGCATACGGTGCTAATCTACCATGGATAGTTTCTTAAATGAGCAAGAAATTGAAAGAACATTTTAAAGTTTCCTGTTTCTTCACTGAAACAGAGTCATTCTGAACGCCAAGCCCAGCGTAACACTTTAATTTCTGGGCCAACCATATTATGCAAATATCTTCATGCTCAGATCTTAAATAATCTCTCGACTTCATTCCTTGGAGAATAGTATTTTCACCTCCTGTTTCATTAGAATTAAGTGACATGAGTTCTAATGTGTAGGAAAAGTACGGTAACACTAATAAATGAATGTAAATAATTAAGAAGTTTTTTACTTAGCTTGTCTTTTTGCTCCTTTTGCATGTATTATTGGGTTGAGTGCTGTATTCCTGGTGCAGCTAAAGTCACTCACAGTTTTTTGACTAAAAGGAATTTAAAATCAGCCTTACATTTTGAGCTGTCAAAAATAGTGAGGTTTTCTTTTTTCTTTTTGTTTGCTGGCTAAGCCCCAGAGATGAAGTTTTTTTTTAATGTGTTTTGGATCTGCCCCAGGTTTTTTTGCAACTGTAAGAGGAGAATGTTCATGTTCTCTATAAGGTGCTGTTTGGATCCTGAACTTATTTTAGACCATTGCGTTTCTTGGAGGTCAATGGTAAGACACTGATTTACATCAGCTGAAGTCCTTGCCAAGAGTTGTGTGGTAGGCTGGATCCTTTCCTCCAAAGACTAATTGGAGGCCATCAAACTTAATTTTGGCTACTTTAGGTTCAATCTGTCTCTCTGAAACACCAGGAAAGCTTTCTTGCTTTTCACTTCACTTAGGTTTCAGTTGTAACGTATAATGCTGGCTTTCAATTGTAATTTCAAAGAGTATGCAATGCAAAGCGCTATATCCGGACCAGATTGGACAATAGGGTGTGCCTTGCATATACATCTGTATGTAATTCTCTCGCTTGTGTTCAATGATGTAAACCACTTTTGATGTCAGGATTATTGAGAAACACTGTGTACCCCTAGGCCTACAACAGGGAAAAGGCTCAGCTCCTTCCAGGGTGAGGCTCTGCTGTAGGACTAGTGATTGATGAAGGTGCCGCCCGCCTACCAAACTGTCCTCTCTGTTTCATGTGTGGGCTGAAAGTGTTTCATATGCAAAATCTGTCAGGATATCTCAAATCCTACTGTTTGGCTTTATTTTCCAGGTGATGAATGTCTGTATGAAACCTTTCCTGAACTTCCTTTGGAGGAAGCTCCAGAAACTGATGGAGAGGCTGCAAACATCCAGTGTCCAACATCTGCCCACATTCAAGAGCCGTCTTCTCCAGCAACCTCCAGCGAAGCTTTTACGCCGAAGGAGAGCTCTCCTTACAAGGCTCCGATATACATTCCTGATGACATTCCTATTCCTTCAGAGTTTGAGCTTCGAGAATCCAACATTCCTGGAGCAGGATTAGGGATATGGACCAAAAGGAAGATTGAAGCAGGGGAAAAGTTTGGTCCTTTTGTAGGAGAGCAGCGGCCACACCTTAAAGATCCCAGTTATGGTTGGGAGGTAAGACACTTTACATTCTTTCGGTCTGTTAAACTCTCTTGCGTGTCTATAAACACAGAAATATTTGCAGAATTTGAGTCCTATCCTGCAGCAGCCAGGAGATATTTGTGTGCATGAAGAATGCTTTGTGGCCTTTCAGGGCTTTCTGGATGGAAACAAGTATAAATTAAAAAAGAAAAAAAGCAGGAATTATTGTTGCTCTTCATGCATGAAATCTGTCTGGGTGAATATTGGCAGGTGATGCCCCTTTTGAGAAGGAAAGGAAGAAGTTGCATTGTTGGAACGTTTCTGTAGCATTTTTAATTTGTTCTTGTGCAGTCCTGCGGTATGTCTGTGAGTGAGGGATTTGTAAATGACACTGGACTATCTATTTGAAAAGAAACTGGATACTACTTCCAGGCTTGTGCACTGCCACTTTCTGTTGACAATGGTTAGAATAGCCCTAAAAACCTAGCATTGCATGATGAAAATTGCTACTGCAGAACCTTTTGCCACTCAGGGACTTCGAAAGCTGGGGGTTTGACCCTGGTTCCATTTATCTTAATGGGAATTTTGCTATTTATTCAGTGAAAGTATGTTTGGATGCTAGTGTCAAACCTAGCACACATGGGGATGATGTGGCTCATGTTACTTCTGCAGATGCTCTGAGAAATGTTGCTTTTCTTGAAGGAGCTCAAGGCCTCCTTTGAGTACAGCAGTTGTCTCTTGCTTTCCCTGCCTTTGAGGGCAATGTGTTTTCCTCACTGCGGTGTCACCATGGAGCTGGCTGAATTGCAGGTCCATGGTTAGGTCAGGGCTTTAGACCTCAAGTGGTGCACGTTGCCAGCTGTGTTATGGTGTAACAAATGTTCTTGCATGGTTTTATTCATAGTTCTAACAATGTGCTGTAGAAACAGAGTGTAATCTCAGCTTTCCATCTGTACGTTTCCTTTCATTTCTGATAAGGGGAGAAGTGCAGAGTTTGCATGGCTCTCCAGGGGCACAGCTGACCTCTGGAGAGTTGGGAGGTTCATTTTCCCAGTAAAAATGGAGTTTCACTGTGGAGCAGAGCCTTGCAGATATGGTGGAAAATGGAGGTTTGATTTGCTCTTAACTGTCCATAAATACTTGGTGAGTTCATTCCAAACTTTCCATCCAGTTGTTTAAACTCTGGTGAGACCTGTGATAATAGGACAGAATAGTGTCAGGAGAAATTATAGACTTGGCAGCACTCTATCGAGTTAACAGACCCTGATGCAATATAATTGCTGGTGAGAAATCTTTTTTACTAGAAAAAGGCACCAGGAAGCCATAAAATCTGGCTTCCCCATCACAGTTAAGATCAGATATTGATAGCAAAAATTGGACCAAAACTGCTGAGACATGGCTGTACTTGCAGGTTTGACACATACAAAATTAGGATATTTTTAGGGTATTCCTCAGGTGGCATAGTCTAGGATAGCCCCATCAATATCAAGGGAAACCTGTACTGATTTTACACTTAGATGTTGATGATATACTACAATATTAGAGACTAATTTTTCTGCTTAAAATATTTGAGATTTTGGGGGTCTACAAAATCCAGACAAGAATGCATCTTGATAGTGCTGGAAGCCCAGCTGGCAGACTGAATCCCTTTCAAGCTGCAGGGCTTGTGCCATTTGAACAGCGTAATGTATTTGGGACAGCTGGGGAGAAACTATTGAAAAGTGCTGGAACAAAATCACACAAAATCAACAGTCAAATCCCTCTGCAATTTGGCCACTCATCTAGAAGTACTCTGCAGTGCTCAAGGGAGCTTGAAACAGAATATTTTTCCAACAAGTGGGTTAAGTACGTTTATTGTAATTGAAGGGAGAGAAAGAAATGCTGGTTAACAGAGTTTACATAATGAGTAAAATGGCATGTAATGAAGGTTAAGGCTGAAGGACTGATGTGGGGGACCTGGTAGTGCTGGAGAAAACCTTACTAGTGCCATTCCAGCCCAGATGGTCATCATCATACTGCTCTGGAAACCACTGCTACCTTGGACTTATGCCTTGGGATAAAAAAAGGGAGAAAGAAGCTGTTACTGGTGTGTGGGCTTGGGCAGTGTTGAAGGAAGCGTGGGATGGTGAGGGAAAGGTATCATTCATTGAGCTTTAAGTATGGTCTTGTGAAGATGAGCTTTTCTGGTGTCAGTTTTTCTGCCTGAATGGGCACTTTTGTGAAATGGGGCGTTTCTCCTGCCAGGTGGCAGTAAGTCAGTTAACAAATGGGGAATTCAGTCTGCTGTTACTGTTATCAAGGTGAAATTTCATTATTTCATTTTAATTAGAGGATGGAAGGATGGAGCCAAAGCTTCTGTATGGTACTGACTGTGGACTTAAATGACTTTGTAGTATGAGAGGTTTCAAAATATTTTTTTCCATAATGATGCTTGCATGCTGAGTGAATTGCAGATGCAGCTGCTGTCAAGATATTCTTCTATGTTTGATTATGTGTAATTCCTACAATAGTTCATGGTGCTATAGAAGTCAGCTGTGTCTGGTGGCTCCAAAAGGCAAGATCCCTCAACCTGGTCCCACGGACCAGGGAAAGCATTTTGCTGTGACCTGACTTGTTTCTTCATCTTGTGCACTGCTCAGAGAAATACATAGTGGGGTTGCAACACTGCTAACGATTGTGTGCTTATTTAATTCTCTTGCAGCTACAGTGAGGATGACTAAGTGATTGGAAAATCAATCTTTCCATTTTATCTGCATTTTTCTGAGTTTAACGTGAAACACTGAACATAGAATGGTGTTTATCTTTCGGAGATGATGAAGGAAGAATCTCTATTCAAGAAAATAGTTAGCATAAACGTATCCAAATATTTTTGGAAGGGAAGTTGAGCATCTTCCTTAGCTGTATACTAATGCTGCATATATTACTGGTTTTGCTATGAAAGATTTGCTCTTTTTTTTGCAATTATTTAGAATTGCTAGAGTCTTAAACTAGAAAATTTCAAACCAAAACTTTACCTGCACATTGCAGGGAAGATTTTATAGCTACACACAGGTTTGGACTGTAACTTTTTGGAAAGGACATTTTTATAATAAATTATACTAAATTCCCTTGCAAAAGATTGTTGTAGTTCTGGGTATTTCCAGCTGTCGGATGCTGCTTCTTCCAGTTTTTGTGACAGATGTCCATCTGAGTTGATATTAGGATTAGCCTGTAGTGGTTGGGAGAGAGGTGGAAGCTGGAGGAATTGTTGCTGTTAAATTTTGCAGCCAGGCATCTGATGATTTAAAAAAAACAAAAAAACTGCAGAAGATTTAAGAATTTCATTGGGCCTGTTCCTATGTTCCTGTATAGCAAGACCTCCCTATGGCATCGATGCAGAGTTTTGTCAGAGCAAGTTCAAGAAAACAATGTCTATTGTGTCCATTTATATACTTGAGTCATAAAACACACTCTAGGACAAAGAGAATTTGTTGTGATATAGTTGTGCTTGGGTCATGATTAGAGTGCTGTAGAGCAGTTCAAATGAAAAGCCATAAATTTGAATTTTATCTCATTTTGTGGGTCTAGAGCTGAGCATTATCTAATCAGGTATTGGTTAGCTAAAGTACAAATCGAACAGGGGGTCACCGGACAAGGGGAAAGGTCGAGCTTTTTTGCAGTTTGTCACTAAGGTTTTAGTATTTGCTAGCAGCCCGAATATCCGAGGGGGTCGGGAGGCTGTTGCTCAGTGGTTGTTTGAAAAGGGAAAATTGACTGCTGCTTAATCAACAAAGAAAACAAGCTTTTAAGGGACGGCAGTAATTTTTTAAACAAAAGCAAAGGGAACGCAAATTTAGTGATTTCATCATAGTTCATGCCCTGCTATGAAAAACAACTGGGGAGAGTATTTCAAAGAAAGCCTTTGAATAGGTCACCAAAGCACATGCACCTATCTTCGACCGACATCTTCCGGAGTATGTTGAATATTCAAATCTAGGTCCCTTACTGCTATAGCAAACTCAGTCTCGTTCATCAGTGCTGTTTCTTCACAGCTTTTTTTATCCTAAACTTTTATTTCTTTACCGGGTAGGTGAAAACAGGAGCAATAACCTCTAATAAATCAAACTTGTCAGAGAAGTAAAAAATATTTTAGAGCTTTATAAAGCAGCATATAATCTGTTTATAGAGCAGAGTATATTTTCCTGTCATGCCAGTGAGGCTGAAAAACATCTCCGATTTGGTAGAATATGCTTGAGTTGATGCTATTACCTCTAAATGGAAATTAGAAGGGTTTTTGCCTATTTGTTTACCTCTCCAACATTTTTGATGTGCATCTTTGGGGAAAGCTGTACAGCCTAAACCTAAAAATGGTTTTGGAGTAAAGGTATCTCACTGGTCTATAGGGACTGCAATAATTGTAACATTAAGTTTAGAGTAGAGTTGAAATCTAATGTATATGCTCCCCAAACCAGCTTGTAGCACCTAAAATGATAGCTCAGTTTTCTTAATGGTCTCAGCATCCAGAAACTTCCACTTTAATCAACAGGAGTTACTGGCTGATTCCTCTCCATGTGTCAGGTTATCACGTATTTTGGGTCCTCCTTTGGCAAATCTTTGTCAGAATGCTGAAAGTAGTGTCTGTCTCTTTTAATTATTTTTAAATTTTTTTGTAATAAAAACAGAGCAAAGTGGCATCTTCTAAATAATTGCACATGGGGATGCACACATCTTAAAACTTGTGTTAAGTTATTCTTAATAAACGACAACAGTGCTGAGGGAAGTACTCCCTTGTAGTCAGTGAAATCACACTGGGAGAGAGCAGTAGATTGTCTTTTTCAAAAAAGGAAAAATAAAAGGAACAGAGACTTAATCACTTCAGAATATTTTTTTTTCTTTGGGATATGGAGTTTGTTCTAGTGTTAAAGAAAAAAAACCCAAACCCTTAATTTTCTGCTGTTGTCTGACACTTTCACGCTGCACTGATTTACAGACCAAATCTTGACCTTTTCTTGAATCATCTTTAAGAGCATTTACATGCAAAGCAACTCCAAACT